TTTTTTTTTTTTTTTTTTTTTTTTTTTTTTTGGAAAGGGGGAGGTTGAGGGGAACATTTTCTGTCTAACTACTGCCTATTATCATAGAATTTTGCAAAGACTCTGAAACAAAAATGCTTAATTAATTATCGAATCTTGTTTATGTCTGTTTACGTTTGTACACACACACATTCATCACAAAATAAAGGTTTCGAGAAACTACTGCAAGACAATATTTTCTTCTTACTGGGCCATCTATCAGATGCAATCGACTGCTTTACATCTGTAGACGTTTGAATTTTGAACGTACCACTGATCACGGTTTCAGTTACATCTTATTAACTGTTGACGCTATCGCTGCTATTGATACAGTCTTTTCGCTTAATAATATGCAAATTTTGCATATCATTTAAAATTCGTATTGATTGCTTTAGCGTTATTTTTTCAGTCCTACAGACAGCTTTCATTGCTGACCAGTGGCGGTTACCAATGACCCTGTTTACGGAACAGCCCAAATGTAGCAGTTTTTCGACATTCTCTAAATCTTGGCAATAACTGTTGTTTCTTTTCTTGAAATGAAATGTTTGCTGAGATAAAATGTGCAGAAACTGCGTTAAATGCAAACGAGAGAAAGATCACAAAAACCACATTTTTTGATGAATTGACAATATGACTTTGGGTCTCAGTAAACTCAGTTACAAACTTACTCTATCATTTTGTTTCTGCCTTGTTTGGCAATGCTTGAATCATATTTCCCGTAAGTTGTTGATCACCGTATTAAGTCAATTCTGTTTTATTTCTTAACATCTGCATCTTGCCTTCCATCAAGAGTTAGCTACTTTTACGCAATCAGTTCATGAAATTATGATTTGTTGACTAATTGCCCACTGCATCGCATCACCGAATATGCATAATGTCATATCTAATCAGTTGTTCACCGTTCCAGTATCAATTGTTACGCAAACTAATCGTACCTATCGGAGAACATTAATACCGGTCAAATGGCCATCTTATACAAGATAGTTGTCCGCTGTTCAGCCTAGTACAACTGACTGTCAACAGTGCCGTCAATACATGATCATACTGATGGTGAATTTCATCGAGTAAATTTTGATTAAAACAAAGTTCTGAATTGCTCTAGTTGAACACTGTTAAAATCAACTTTTATTTCTTCAGAGTAATAAAGTTTGTTACTGTTGCGCTTAGCGCTACAGTTTTATGCAGAAAATTATTCCGAGAGCATTTGCACCAAACTGAAGGTTGATCGAGGGAACAGAAGTTTGCAGAATAAATATAGAGACCTTTGAGTACCAATTTGTCAAAGACACATAAAAGTAAAAAATATCCGTATAAATGTGCACAAAAGTTCTTATCAGCAGTTGAAAAAGAAATCTGGAAACGATAAAGTAGAAGAAGTTTAGCATTATCATAATCAGAATAAAGATACGACATCAAACAAACAAATTCCTGTAAAACAATTCTTAGCATAATTTAGTTTAGCAGCATCTATAAACTTCAATGACTTGAACTAATTTTTTTTGCAGTCAGCTATTACTCTTCTATCAGAATTTATTTTATTTAACTTTGGTAAAAATTTTTATTTCCTTGTGCTCTCATTTTTACCGCTTTAATAAAGGAAACAGTTTTTCAGCAGCTACATTATGAGTACTTTCAAAGATAAACTTCTGAAAGTTATCTTATCTGCTGAAGCTCAGCAGTTTATAGCTTATTTAACAGAAGAATAAAAGAGTGATATGGCATAACAAAGTAAATCTGTTAAATTTTAACCATCATTACAGTTTTAGTTATCCACTTTGTAGAAGCCTATAGTATGCATGAAAGAATAAAGACATTTACTGTAGATTTGAGGCTTACAAATGCTACAGAATGATAGATACTTTGTTCTTTCTTAAATTAACCACTACCGCTTCCCTGGTTTAAAACAAAATGATTAAAAAATTTTTGGTTTCATTTTTTGTCTCTTTTGTTTACCAAAGAATATTTCTTTTCCACTTCTGCTCCGATGCGCATAAAATATTTGTAAGAAAACAAAGATTATTGAGATAAGTGTCCCTCATATCTACTTTTAGCAATAAAAAAATCCCCTTCTTTTTTTTTTTTTTTTGCTGAATTGATTGTCAAAAGAGAATAAAATTTGAAATGAAACTTTCAAAAATTGGTAGTTGTAAAAGTATAGTAAACTTAAAAAGGTTTTTTTTTTGTTATACGCAACAGTTGCCACCTTAATTTTTCAGTTATTTTTACTTTCAGGTAGTAAAGCAATTTATGTTTTGTTGAAAAACAGCAATCTTTAGAACTTTTTTTCATGATTTAGTTTGCACTTTTAGTCTTGCTAAAATTCAGCCTAAAACAACCAAAATTTCACAATCAAAATTCAACTATTTTAAATAATAAAGTCAAATTTTTCAACACATATAAAAAAAAAGAACTGTTTTTTTTTTCTTCTGTACAGTTTTACCCTATTAAATGTCGTTAATTAAACTTTTTCTGGTTGTATTAAATATTACATCTCTTATCAGCAGTAACATAGTTCTGTGGAAAATAAAACTGCAAATAGTTGTTGAAAGCAAAAGAAAAAACAAAGTAAGTTTTAAAAACACTGAGATATATCGTTGTTTGAAGCTCAGATTTTTTTTTTTTTTGTTAGTGTTTGATTACAGTAATTTGACTATTTGTTATGCTAAAACAAAAGCACCTCTTTTTTTTGCTCACTTAGCTGTTCGAGACCTTCCAGAAACACTATCTAAATTCTACAGCATGATTAAGTTTCTAGGAAGAAGATTAAGCTAATGTGAAAAGCCTTTAGAAGTCGGCATTTTATGAAGCGATAAAGCAGCAGCTGTTTTATAAAAGTTCATAAATGAAGCCGATAAGCAGAAAAATATCTATCCGCTTCCAATATAGTTGAAACTTAATACCTTAGTTTTGTTTTGTTTTGGTTTTATGTTAAGTTAGCTAATTTTTTTTTCTTTTTAGATACTAATTTTTTTGAAGTAACAAATAAACACCACAAATTTTTAACTGATTTTACGGCTAAAACTTTCAGGAAAAAAAAA